CCCGCGGGCAGCGGACAGGGTTATCCGCTGCCCACGCGCTCCGCGGCTTGGCTCTGCTTATTCAGCCGCTGTTGAAACTGATCAGTTTCAGCAGCGGCTGAATCTGGACGCCAGTTCCGACTTACATACAGATTCAACTTAAGAACAAACCTACAGTCCCTATCTTGTACGTAACCCGGGGACTGCCTGTACAATGCTAAAATAAACCTCTTTAGGATTCTTAAATTTCTGTGTTGCCAGCTAGACTGGGAAGGGCTGAACAACATTTAGTAGCTCCTAGATGACCATGCTTTATCACTGTACGTTGTCTAGACATCTGCCTGTAACTCCAACACACACATTAGAAATGTCTGTGTTCATATGTGATAAACACCAGCATATGGAATTGGAATGGATGCCATGGACCTCAACGGAGAGATCATTTTTTAAAGCTATTGACACTCTTTTCTTGTTCCATATGCAAACCACAGCTGTAGTTAGTATTAATTATAAAGTGTCTGTGGAAGTGCTCACAAATGTGTTTAAAATATATTTTCAAATATAATAAAGCAAACCACATAAATGCCAGATATAATATTTAAAAGGCACTGCTGTTTAAGAACTTGTACATTGGGGGAAAAACCTATTTATCTTGCAGATATTTCTTGGTCCTTTTATAGCACATTTTATCCTTAGAGAGCTTTACAAAAGGACATCCACATCTTTAGTGCGTGCAGGTCCCTCCCCCTTTTTTTCCCCAGCTATGGGATGTGAGGCACACAAAGGTGAAGTGGCCTAAATTCATCCAGAAGGCCACCTGCAGAACTGGGACTAGAACCCAGGTCTTTTGAACATAGGTTTTTAAAAAGCGACTCTTAAATTTTAAATTGCTGTTAACTATTTCTGAATGTTTCTCCCAGTTTGGGTAATTAAAACAGATGAGTTGGTTTCCTTTTTCTGTATCATCTGTTTTTTGTGGATTTCAGTTTTTCATGCATGAACTAGCACATGCTGCACTATTTGTGTTGCACATGCTAGGGATTAGTGACTCTGGTGTCATGTTCTCACTGAATTTTTTTTTTAATGTAATGGAAACATTTCAGTGAAACCTCAGTTTGATAAAAGCCAGCCCTGCTTAAACCTGATAGCAAACCTTTCGAAAAGCCAAGTGACCTGACAGAAAAAAGAGAGACCATTATTACCAGTGAGCCACAACGATTAAAACGGAAAATGCCTCTGAAGAAGTTCTCAGATTTGTTGAAGTGTAAGTGGAGGCCTGAGGAGGGTTCTCTAAGGAAAGATGGTTCCTTCTCTCGGATGATGCCACTGCCAAGGCTGCCGTGGTTCCCTCTGTTGGGATTCTCATGGGTGAGGATAACAAAGAGCTTGAAACTCACCAACATGAGACTCGTGCTCTCACTACAGCTAGGCTCCCCTCACCTCTATTACTGTCCTTAAACCTCAAAAAGGAGCAACTTGACATCAATCTCTTCACCTTAAAAAGGCAGCCAGTGAAAAATGGATGCAAGCTCTTAGCTTTGTTTCCATGATAATTTTGTGTCCAGTGTGCTTTTTAATTAGGGATAGAATATATGGTTGAAGATACCAAATAGTTCTGATTGAAGAGGTTAATTTCTTGAACATCTTCATTGATCTTCATGCATAGTTGCTGTTCTGCAGTTCCTAGCCCACTATGGGTACAGTTACACAGTGAGGCTATTTCGGGATACCCTGAATCTTTTGAATATGCCTGCCATTTCGAGAGAGGTCTCGAAATAACGGGCATGCTGTTTCGGCATCCATGTAACTCTCGTTCCACGAGGATTACGGAATATCACAAAATTGCAAGTTATTTCAAAATTTGACGCATAATGCAAACTGTGCATCTTACTTCGAGTTTAGGGTGCTGTGTAGATGCACCCTATGTGACTATACAGTACAGCTCTGCATCTCTTTCAAGGAAGATCCTTAATGCATGAAAAGAGGCCCAGCTGGAACAGTAACATAAAATGCTTTGGTAAAAGGGTTATTTAACTTGGCAAGCTTTTCAGGAGAGGGACCCCTGCCTAGTTCTCTTTGTACAGCACTTGAGACAATTATGCTTATTTCTGATTGGGGCTTTTGGGTGCTATGGAAATATAATTAAAACATTAATAAAAATAGTTTTCGTGTTTTTCTGGAAGAGTACTTTTGTTTATTACATCAACTCAAACACATTTCTTGAATGCTGAGGAAAAGGCTAAGCAAATCAAGGTGAAAGTGACTTTTAGCCAGAATAAGCAACAACAACAAAGGAAATATGAAACCAGAAATAACATATTGAATTCTGTATAGAAGATAAAATTTGCTAGGCACTGTGCAACTTCAGCTCACTGTGGACATTGCATGTGATAGAGCCAACAAGACACATGGCCATAGATCCTCAGAATTGTGCAGCATTTCAGGAACTTGCAGACATAAGAAAATATTACGTGGCTGTACAATGTTTTATTTGTCATAGATGGATTGTCAAAGCTTGATGTGGCAACTTTCTTTTTTATTTTGTGTTACAGCACACTATGATTTTTATTATTGTAGCTTCATAGGATATGTTAATGCAGTGTTCCCCAATTTTATTTGGCCAGCGGAATCCTTTAAAACTTGAAAGTATTTTGTGGAACCCCTAATAACAGTCTAATATATGGAGCTGAAAAAGTAGACCACAAATAAGTAAGGATAATAATAAACAAGTGCTAAACAAAGTCATGAGATCAACATTTAGTTTAATTACACACATTTAAAAACAAAAATCACATAATATTAATTTTAAAAAAATCATAAAATGTTATTGTAATGGAATTGTCTTGCTGAACCCCTATTTTCACTTTGTGGAACCCCGGGGTTCCGCGGAACACCATTTAGGAAACACTGTGTTAATTTATTCATCAAATTCCTCTGACTTCTCAGAGGGTTATGGTTGTCTTGTTTCACAATGTAACTTTTCCATCCAATGCAGAAAAAATTCAGTCAGCTTATTCAAGAACAGCAACAGTTAACTGAACAGTTAAAAGATGAAACTAACCAGAAGGAACAATTAAAGAGGATAAAGAATGAAATGGAAAATGAGCGATGGCAACTAGACAAGACTATTGAGAAGTTACACAAGGAGGTAAGGTTGCAGGAAAAAGAGCTACATGAGATTAGATATCTAATGGGAAAAAGCAAATAAACTGCCAAATTACAAAGAAAAGAGCTTAAAAGAAGTGTAAATGAAAGTGAAATGTGAACTTTGCTATTAGTGTATTTGACCTAGTGACTATCAATAAAAGCTTTCTGGACTGGAACAGAAGTTGGAAAGGTGCAATGTAAAAATACCATGGTAAAACACTCCTGCTTTGTTAAAATAAGATGCCATACTTGAGCTCTCTTCTATTATGTACAACTGACTGCAGTCAGTACTTGCTTTGCATAACTTGCAGCTGATTTCGCCAGTTGCTGCTTCATAGTTATATTTATTTTTGCCACCAAATGTGAGTAACCAGCTTAGTTTTGGTATGATAAAATATTCAGTGATGGCTTCATAGAATAAATCCTAATTTGTACAGATTTAAATACAAACCACCTGTAAAAACTTCTGTCATTCTGGGAAATGTATTATCCCACATTTTAGAAATTGTGTATTTTAGAGTTGTGTATTTTTAAGCTGGTGCATAGAATTTCAGCTAGGTAAATATACCAACTTGAAAATGTTCTCCACACAAAGAATTATGGCCCTAATTTTACATACGAGAGACTGGAGTTAGGAAGAAAAACATTTTCCTGTGGTGCTAATGAAGACAGATTCCTTTCTAGCATTGCTTTGCTCATAAGGAATTTTATGTGTCTGTGTTTGTGTTTTGCCAGATGGCTGAAATTGTTGAAGTGTCCCGGTCATCCACTCTGGAGCTTCAGAATCGGCTTGATGAATACAAGGAAAAAAATCGCAGGGAACTTGCAGAAATGCAGAGACAATTAAAAGACAAAAATGTTGAGTTAGAAAAGTCACGCCTCATAGCCACAAAAATGCAGGATGAGGTATTGGCTCAGAAGTCGAATGACATATTTAACCTTTGACCTAACTAGCCTCCTGAGACACTATTAAGAACGAAGACTCTTTGATATCATGCTCTTGCGCACTTCATCAGGAGAGATTGATCTCAGTCATCAAGTTTTTGTGTTTGATTTTGCAGGATGGTCATTAGGCTGGTACCTCTACAAGGGCAGTGGGGTTTACTGGATACAATAGACAAATGGCCCCAGAGCAGTTGCCCTCTCTATTTCCCCCATGCCGCAGGCCTATGCAGCCAAGAATCAGTCACAGCCTTGAAGTCTCTGCCTCTTTAGTATGTAAATTCTACCATAAAATCAGTCCAGCCTCTTCAGAGTTCTAACTACACTTGTTCAGTATTTGGAAAAGCTTTGAGAATGAACAGATCATAGAGCTTCTCAGTGTTATATATATATTAATAATTTGACCTTTCAGGCTGGAACATTCAATTTGTTTCTCTTTCTCTTTGACAAGACAGAGCAGCAACCTGAAACCTACAGGCTGCATGCGGTCCACTGAGGCTCCACCTGTGGCCCACGCACTCCTGTTTACCCCCACACTTCCTACTCCTTCCCCTCCTTCACAGCACTTTCATAGCACTATGAATCCACTGATTCGCATCCCATCTCTGCTTCTTCCCCTCCCTCCCAGAGCTGGAATGCCTCAAATCAGCCATTTGCGGCTGTTCAAACTTTGGAAGGAGGAGGATGAAGGGGATGGAATGCGAATCAGGCAATTCGCACGCTCCAGAAGTGCTGGGGCAAAGGGGTAGGAGTAGGAAGCGCGGGGGTCCATTATCTCTTGCTCATTTTAGTGGTCCTCCCAAATCCGTTTTGAGGCATGTGGCTAGGCAGTGTAGGAATTCCTTTTTACTGTTGTCCATGCTGTAGGTGAAGACCTAAGACATTGGATTCCAGGGATGTCAATCCAGCATCTTTCATAAACACTAAAATAATTGGAAACATTGTCACATTTCAGGGTGCAATCCAGACCAGAAAGAGGTTTTATCACTTTCTACCCCACTAACCTTGGGTGGTACCTCATAATGTTTTGCTATTGTAGCTCCCAATTTGGGCTGCTCAGAAACAGTCTACCAATATGTAGGTCTCTGCACTAGTCTAGCAGTTCTGATTCCATTAGCCTGTCAGCAACACACTGGCTGCCACCATCTTTGGTTACTACATGTGTTCTGCAATATCCTGGAGAGTTTCAATATTAATGTTCATTTCTCCTTTGTGAAGTCAGTATTCAGCAGTGTATTGTAACTGGCATTACCAAACAGTACAATTTAAACACAGCACTGAATTGGTTCCCTCTCCCCACCATATTTTAATAATGCCAGTTAGGGTTTTAAGAGAATTCAGGAATAAGAGATACATTTAGAAATGGTTACAAGCAAATGAAAGTGAAAAAATGCATTTAAAAGTCCAAAACTTAGTCTAGCAAGTTTTGGTTCAAAGCTTTAAGACAGCCTTTCTCACCCCCTGCCGTTCACTATGATAGTGACTGACCCCTTCCTTGGTCAGGATCGCTCCCAGAGGCCCAAACATGCTGGTGCCTTTGTCTTAAGTGAAAGAGAGAGAACTTGGGATTGTCACCCCTTTCTTTATAGTCCAATGAACCCATGAAGTGGATTCTTCCAAGGGTTATCCTTCAAAGAAGGTTTATTCAAACAGTAAAGAAGGCGACAGGTGGAGGAGATTCCATGCTTTTTCTGTTCCGAAGTGTGTGTGAGCTGAAATCCAAATTGTTCTGTTTCCTGCCATCTCCTTCCCAAATCTCTCAGGGTATGTCTACACTGCTACCCTAGTTCAAACTAGGGTGGCTAATGTAGGCATTCGAACTTGCAAATGAAGCCTGGAATTTAAATACCCCAGCTTCATTTACATGTTCCCGGGTGCCGCCATTTTTAAATGACCCATAGTTCGAACTACCTCACCGCAGCTACACGCGGCACGGACTAGGTAGTTCGAATTAAAGCTCCTAGTTCGAACTACCATTAAACCTCCTTGCAGGAGGAATAATGGTAGTTTGAATTAGGAGTCCTAGCCATTCTGTTGACTTCCCTGAATGTGAGGGAGAACTGGAAATAAAATTCGGAGCATGTCATACAAGATTGTGCACTGAAAGGTATGTTAACACCTGACAAATCAGAGAGCCTCCTCACAGAACAAAAGCTAATAGCCTCGCTGCTAACTGTGCCTTCTAATGAGACTTTGGAAGCTTGAGTGAGAGAATATAATGAAACACTCCTAATGTGGTTAGGAGGGAAAACCCTCCCCATGAGATGCACCTCCTACTATATATGTATAGAGCTATAGTTAATATATACAATAGCAATTATACCATAAACATAATATTGACTGAGTGCCAGAATAAGGGGCATAAGCAGCACCAATAAACTGAAGTGATGTTATGAAAAGCAAGCAAACCGGATGGAAAGAGTTACCAAGGATGTAATCACCCACAAAGCTGGAGGGCAAGTGGCCAACTATGTGTGGCTAAGAAAAAGAGAATTAAATGCAAATTCCAATTTGTCTTATTTACTACTGTGAAAGATGTAAACTGATGGGTATCATCCTCGTTGAGAACTCTGATCCAAAATTATTTACTTGGTGCCATCTTGTGGCTGAAGTAAAAAATGGCTCTAATAAACACAGAGTTATTTAAAGTTTAAATAACTTTAAAAACAAGTCTTTCAGAAGTGTAGCTTGTTTACTGGCATTACTGTTACAAATAAATATATTATAAATTTGTGCCACCTGCATTTTTGTTTCAGATGCATCTTATGGAAGAGGATTTACGGGACCACCAGAGAGCTCATGATGAGGCAATTACAAAAACTCAGCTGCTAGAACAGACTATGAAAGGTTTGGAATATGAACTGGAAGCCAAAAATCACATGAAAGATGATCGGGCGAGACAAATGAAATTCATGGAGGTAAAAGGTGCTTTTTGATGGGGTGTGCTTTGGATGCTTGGTGCTTATGTATAATACATTTGTTGCTAGACATGAGTGGAAACACTTAATTTTTTTATTGTGGTTGTGCCTTGGAAGCAACAATATGTTTTGATATCATTTTATGGAAAAATCGGAGTTAGGACAGTGGTAACGTAAAAACTATTTTGGCATCTTCCAAGGGTGAGCCTTTAGCAAATCTAACAATATATTATGTTCTAAATGGTGGTTTATATTTTGAGAGCCCTTTAAATACTTTCCTTTCTTTTTCTCAGGTGACAAATGGAAGCTCTTGTCAGTTACCTCTATAATTCTCCTTGAATTTATCAGGCACGGAAATCAGAAAGTTTTAACTTCAGGGCACTTTAAGAACAGATACACTCCCAATTAAATCAGTGGGAAACTTTGCATTAACTTCAGTGGGCATTGAATTAGGCCCTCAACTTGCTTTCATAAATGGCCTCTTTTCATAGCTGTGAAGTTAATTTTAATTTGTAATTTCTAAAGAAAATCCTCTGTTGTAGCATTTCTAGGGTATTTCTAGAAATATTGTTGTTGTTGCATTGCTTTTAATTATATATCGGCAAATTCTTATGCTCATAGAATTACTGGAAGTGTACCTGATCAATGAATATTTAATAAGAAGTTATTGGACACTGAATAAATTATAAAAAGCATTTTTGCCTAGTTCAGCTTGTGATAGATTTACAAAATTCCTTCCCGGTGGAGATATTATCTCAAAGATATTTTTTTCTGTTTATTCAGTTTGCTACTGCAGTGAAAAGGAAAGTCAGGTTCAAATTGGAAGCAAGCTGTTGAACTTCACTGCAGAAAGCAGTTCTGAAGTTTTGATTTTTTAAAAATAATGAAGTTAATAGCAAACAGGTTATCAAACTCCTGTAGACTTTTCTAGTACAATACAGATACTTTTTCCTGGGTAAGTTGTCACAGAGAATGTATTTTTCCAACATCTCTCTGCAATGTGTATACACACACACACACACACACACCGTATGTGTATATATAACTATATAACACAAATATGCACACTCATACTTCAGCCAAATTGATCCTTGGCAGTTCTAAAAAGAAATGCTTGGGGGCAGTGTAAAGAGATTGAAGGGCTAATCGATTGAACTACTTTTGCTTTTTCATTTAGGACAAGATGTCCCAGTTGGAACTGGAGCTTGATGAAGAAAGAAACAATTCAGATTTGTTGTCTGAGAGGATCTGTAGGTGCAGAGAACAGGTACTTGTCCAGTGATCAAAGTTTACTTTGTCTAGCTATAGTGTAGTGATGAGGAAGAAGAGTGTTACGAGTAACCTGAATCCATTAAATATTAGTCTTTAAGTTAGGCCATGTCTCCACTTACTAGACAATCAATCTTCTGGGGTTTGAGTTAGCGGGTCTAGTAAAAACCTGCTGAATTGAAAACTGAGGGCACCCCCATTGGTGCCCATACTTCTCACTGTTACAAGGAGTAAGGGGAGTTGATGGGAGCATTTCTCCTGTTTACCGCTGTGGGGCTGCTCTTGAAAATTGATACAAGATATATTGACTCCAGCTACACAATTCATGTAGCTGGAGTTGCGTATCTTCCATCTATTTTCTTTTCCAGTGTAGAGCTGGTCTTAGATGCTTGTTGTTTTGCATGCAAGCCAGATCATAATTAGGTTCACCAACAATAGAGCTTTTAACAGAGCTTGACAAACAGCGGCGAAATCTGCTTGCCAGCCCCGCACTGCGCATGCTCAAGACCCGCATTGCGCATGTGCGCGCCGCCGATGAATGGGGCAACTGGCAAAAATCTACTCGCCTATAATTTGTCGATCCCTGCTTATGAACATTAATGAATTAAGTTTCGCAACACACCTGAAATAAGTAGTAGTATTCCCCATTTGACACATAGGAAAACTGAAACAATATGAGTTTGTGAGTTTCCTAGTTCACCTATGAAGTCTTTGTCAGACCTATGGATAGAACCATAATCTTTTGACTTCTGTTTGTGTGTTTTAATTTATCTTTCCTTTAGCAGTACACACCCTTTATTACTCCTGTCCTATGAAGTGTCCTATTAGACTGACAAACACTGCAAGCAGAAATTGACCTAAGCCACAAAATTCTGACATACATTTTAAACTTTTCACAAACTTCAGGATTGTTCAGTTTTGGATGTTGATCAAGCCAGTTCTATATATAGAAATCAGATGCTTTTCAGACAACATGCATAACACAGGCATTTGAATGTGGTGTTGTGGTCATTCCATTTTTAGATTGTTGTTTCAAAATGGTAAGTAATTATAGTGGGATAGAGCTTTTTATTTATGGTTTACACTAAACAGATTACCTATTAATATGTTGCTTTGTTCTATTGGAATTAGTTGTGCAATGAATTATGAATGAGGCATTACTTATTTATTACACATATGCACAGATTTTTAAAGAAATCCTTCACAATTCCAGATGCAGTTTCTTTCTTTTTCCCCCCAGACATAATATTTTCTGGCTTGGGTTTTTGTGCATGCAAGAAATTTACCTGTGAGCACAAACTGCATGTATGCACACAAACTAAGTAGACAGACAGCACAAAGTTTGCATATGAGTCTTAGTTATGCAAATGTTTGGTGTAAAAAACCCTGTAATTTTGCAAAACAGTCATTTTTTAAAGCAGGATGTTGAAGCCATTTTGCAAAAATTTCACCAAAGTTTAGAAATAACACTAAGGGTGTAAAGTCTAAAAAGCAAGGGAAAGTTAAGTCATTGTTCTAGCCTTTATATTATGTCATGTAAATGGCAGCAGATGTAGTAAGGATAAATTGCTTTGTTTTTATTGGCTCATCATTACCTTCACAGAGGGCTACATTTGAGGGAGGCAGTGTGGCCTAGCATAGAAAGCAGTGAATTGGGACTCGGGAGACCAGGGTCTTATTGCTAGCTCTTCCATTGGCCTGCTGATTGACATTGGATAAGTCACTTCAGTAATCTGCGACTGAGTTTCTCAATCTGTGAAATGGTATTGCCTTTATTTATAAAGCACTTAAAATCCACTGATGAGAATTGCCATATAAGTCTTGGGCATTACTACTATTATTTTAAGTTCCTCACCCAGTGAGGAGTTTCCTTGAAATTCTGCTTGCACAGTCATATACTACTTGGTGAAGTGTACATAAAACATTGTTTTAATTTCTAAAGAAAAGACTTGTTGAGATTGGAGTAGCTTCAATTTCAGTGGAAGACACAGTAATAAAACCCTGCTTTCCATATCTTTTCAGTGAAGTGGTATCTCCCACTGAGATGGCTGAAGTGCCTTAAAATGAGTTAAGCCTCAAATTGCTTTTATGCATCATTGAAACCCCATGTATTCTGTTAGTAATTTGTTGGACCTACAGTTTCTCAGATTTTTATTTGATTTCAATAGTGTCTTTTTACCATTATTTCACTGAGATCATACAGCCGTGGAATCAGTGTGTGTGTATCTTCAGTGATTCAGAATGGAAAGGACCTATTATAATTGGAAGTCATGTCATCGCTTAATTAGGAAGCTTTGAATGCTGGAGTCCATGCGTGCTGTGAGTCTATGCTGAAACAACCTTAGCCAAAGCTGTACTAGTGGGCTGTTTAATATTTAATGGACTAGCTAAATGGAAACCTAAAATACAGATGGGTAACTAGAAAGCCACATAAAAGGCAAAAATGTTTGTGTTGAGATCCAGTTTCTCATTTCATGCATGAGTTACAAAGGTTGTTTTGTTTTGAGTTTATGCCATAGTGGCTAAGTTGTCAAATTACTGAAGAGTATTTCAGGGTCTGCTAAGCATCTATTATGGCATGAGGAAAAATAATGGATTTGTTTTGGTAATATCTGTTTGGTCTATAAATGTCTTTTTTATTATGAATATATTATTTTAATATACTGATCATGAAGACTAACACTCCTGTATATAGGAAAAATGCATTACTGGTTACCTTTTATATCCCATTATCATTGTCAAGTTTGATAGATAAAAAATGTTACTTGCAATTAAAATTTATCCTCTCCCCCCGTCCCCTTTTTTGTTTCAATACTGCCTTGAATTTGAGATGGAGCTTCAGAAGACACTGATTTTTCTGTCATCCCCTCCCCAACCTCAACTCAAGATTGTAACAGAGTAAAATCTCAGTTTCTTAGCTAGGTCACCTACTTATAACAACAAATATCTAGCTGCCACTGCAGATATATATGTGACGCAAATATGCCACATTGTCCTGCTACTCTGCTGTATGAGCACTGAACTGCACAGGAATTCTATTCTTTAGTCACAATCTGCCTGCTTGTACACAGATGTGCTTGTGTGCAGTGCAGTAAGAGATCTGCTTCCCAATGGGCAAATATCCCAGTCGCTAAAATCTCTGCCATGTGTGGCACAAACTTGACACAGTTCTCGCTGGTTTCAGCAAAGAGGTCAAAGATTTGAATGAGCATGGGCACTTCAGCCCAGGGGCAGGCAATAAGCAGCCCATGGGCCAGATGCAGTTCATTAGTGTTAGACCCTGGCAGGCTACCATATGTATTTTATTCACTTGGGCGTCAGCAGCTGTGGCCACTTGTGGATCCCATTGGTCACAGATCACTAGTCCAACAGGAGCTGCAAGTGGCTATACTTACAGAGGCACAGGTAAACAAAGTACCTGTGGGCCTGCCAAGGGCTAACCCTGGTGAACTGCATCCAGTCCGAGGGCCACTTATTGCCTACAACTGCTTTAGCCCCTCATGGTGACCCCTCTGGTTCAGAAATGAGGCGTCTCGGCAGGTCAGCAAGGGAATGCTTGCACATCTTATTCCTTGGGTAATTCTAAGCCGAAAAATTCTGCGCACAAAATTTTAAAATTCTGCATATTTTCTTTGTTAAAATACCACAGTCTAATCAGGCTGATTTCAATTATTTTGGAAATTGATTTCAAAATACTGTCAGCAAGCATGTCTGTAACAATACAGCCAACAGAAAATTCAGGAAATGTGTTTTGACAAATAGATTCCTTACTATATGTATTAGTACAGAACTTTGAGTAATAATTCATTCAAACTGCAATACAGAAATGTATTTCCTGGACCCCTCAAAAGCAGTGCAAAAGCTTGGGGGAGTCAGGGATTAATGGAGGAACTGAGGGAAGGGAAGTAAGTGCTGGAAAAGAGACTGGAAGTGAACCTCGATGGTTATTTGAGTGTGGATGAAAGAAGTATAGAACCATTTCTTTGGGGGGGGGGAATTGTTAGGGAGCCAATCCCATGCAGACCCTGGCTGACCCCTAGCCTCCCCTGTCCAGGCAGACACCACATCTCCTGTTCCCATGTGTCCTTGTATTCTCCACCTCTGGTATCCATGTGTCCCTTCACCCGCACTCAGCTACCCTCTCTCCTCTGTACCCTTGTGACTATGCATCTTCACTCTTATTCAGTCTCTGGCTCAGAGCTGTCACCCCCTAGCTCTAGTGTCCCTGCCTCAGTCATCTTCCTCCACCCCCCTCCCCTACACAAACACACTAGCCCTTCTGATCCCCCAGTCTAAATGACTCCCTCAGAAGCCCCATGTGTCCCACTTTGTCCATCTTCCCCATATCACCTACCTCTACACCTGCCTCTGTCCACAGTAAATTACCCAGCTGATAGGCTTATGGGATTGTATTTGTTAGTATGTTGTATCCTGTCAGTATGTTGTATCCTGTTCCCTCTTCCTTCATCTGCCTTTTATTTTCTAGGTTGTAAATTCTTCCAAGTAGGGAGCTGTCTTTTATTATGTGTTCCTATAGCATCTGTTACAGAGATGCTGCCTTAAGCTGAGAGTCTTTGGGAGCTCTGCAATGCAACTAAGAAGTGTGTGTGAAAATGGTTTCTTTAGTTATATGGACTTATCATCAGCCCTACATAAAAAAAAGATTCTGACTAATTTCAGATTACAGGTTGAAGAAGTTTATTTTTCCTGAATTAGTTCAGCCATGCACCTTCAGTTTCTACTATGAGCCCTGTCTAGAACAGATTGCACCTTCAGAGTAGATCCATTTTCAGTGCAAAAATACATGCAGTTACCAGAAATAACTGCAAGGCATATTTGAGAACGAAATACTGGATCACTGCAAAGTAGAAATCTTATCTTGGTTAGTCCTCTGCATAGACTACCACTACCAGTATCAGTTTCTTAAAGAATCAAAAGCGAAAATGTTTGTTCATTAATTTGTAAAGCAAAAGATAGACCTGAATCCAAACTCCACTCCCAGAGAGCTCCAAACCTTGGGAAACTTTGCATTCAGACTTTACTTTCATGGCTGGACCTAACTAAAACCTGATAGTATAACAGATTAAAGTACTGGAGAACATAGCATCAGAATACAAATGTTATGGATTTGGTCCATTTTCATCTGTGATAAATTGCTGCCAATTCTGTTAAAATTGAGGACTTTAACAAACACAAGAGGAAGTAGGGAGACATTCTGCTGCCTTTTGAAGGGCCCAAAGATTTTAGTATACAGTATTTTTGTCTGCAGAGAGAGAAAATTATTTGGGCTACTTATTTTTGCTAACGTAATGGAAACACATTTGACATGGCTTCAGCAATCTTTGTGCACAAAAAAAAAATATAAACATGAATCTGTTGGTATCAGAGTTGTTTCCAGTAACCGTGAGAGAGCTCAGTTTCCATGGCAATGGCAGAGTAAATTGTAGAGGATAAAGTTGCCTTGGCTGTGTCTTTCACTTCCTTTTGGTAGAGTAGTCCCAAAGGATTGCTGTGCACCTGCTCCTTAGTTGGCACCAGGTGTGCAAAGCTAGTAAATGAAAATGTGGAAATGAAGGTTTCTTTTCAATGATGAAGGATGAAATCTTTGGTTAGCTTTCTTAGTTAGCAATCTTTGTTGTTAAGAATTGTACAAGTATAGGAGGTCAATATTCATTTTTTCCACTTTTCCTTGCTCAAGAAATGTAGACTCTGTACCCAGTGGGAGATGGTAAACAATAGAGATAGCATCTAAAAGGTTATTAGAAATCAAATTACTTTTCACTAACCTCACACTCCACAGCTGCTTCTAATCCTAAAGCTGGCACTAATTGCTGTTATGTCTAATGCTGCTTTGTAGAATCTGATACTATTACTTCTTACAATGCTTTGTTTTTAGCATTTTCTAAATCCAGCTGTGATAACTGTTGCCTTAAGCTGCACAGTTAGTTTATTCTTTGGATGTAATTAGAATATATTATATATGCTAAAAAAGTAGAATTGAAGCACAAAGTACTGCCTGCTACAGACCTACAGTATGATTTAGTAGCTATGTTGTCTTTTAGATCAGTGTTTCTCAATCAATGGTATGAGCACCCTCAGAAGTACTCGAGAAGTCTGGGGGTACGTCAACACTACTGAAATTTGGAGAAAACTGAATTTTTGTTTTAAGTTTTACAACGCTTTATTATTTTTGTACTTTTTACACCCAAAAATTTTGTTGCCCACCCAGCTACGATTAAGTTGTTTACACAAATGTGTTGCAATTGTAGAAAAAAAATGTGTGTGTCTGAAAATTGTAGGTACTGGGGGTACTTATAATTTTTTAAGGGGCTACTTTAAAAAAAAAAAGGTCGAGAAACACTGTTTCAGATCACATTTTTCCTTTGTATTTAGTTGTGTATTTGCTAATGGTAAGTGCAGGGAGATAACGGAGAGCTGGGCTCTAACAGATTTGCATCTTGTTGTCACGCTTTTTTTTTTTTTTTTGGTCAGTCATTTGCAGGGCTCGACAAACCGCAACGAAATCCACTCGCCAGCCCCGCACCGCATATGCGCGTGCGCACACCACCGGTGAACGGGGCGGCGACTGGCTGAAATCTACTCGCCATGGGCGAGTAGATACGCAGATTGTATTTAATTCCTTCCTGGGGTTCTTTCTGCTCCCTAATCAGACTGTATTCTTCTCCTTTCCCTTTTTTGTGACTCTACTTTTTACTATGAAGCATCCAGCAGCAGAAATTATCTTGGCAATCCTCAAAATACTTCCCTAATTTAAGAACTGGTGATGGTTGTGCATATTTGTCACAGCCTCTGAGCCCAGTAATAGCACAATAGTGCTTTAGTGTGTGGAGCTATATTGTGGCCCATTAAGCAAGTTCTAATATCTAACAAAAACCCTTTCTCTAGTTAACAGTTGCATTTTTAGTCACTCATTTTACTTCAGGTCTTGCTTTATTTTCCTGTGCCTATTTGTATCACTGCAGCAATTACAGCACAATGAATTATTTCTTCATGACCCTGATCACAGGCCTTTTCTGAGATACTAACAGGTAGATAGATGTAAACATAGGTGCTGGAACTAGGGGTGCCGGGGATGCATCTGCACCCTTGGCTTCAAGTGATTTCCATTACTCCCACTATACAACTTCTTCCAGTACCTCCGCATTTATAGAGGGAGACTTCTGAAATACACAATGCTCATTTGTGCATTAAAACAAACTTTAAGAAAGCTTTGCTACTCACTCTATTAGTCCTCCTTTTGTGGGGGCATTGAAATTACTCCTAATGTTAGGCTGTTTTTTAAATCCTTAGTTCATTGGTTTTTTAAGTATTTTTTTTAGTTAACCTAGATACTCCTGTCTCATCTTGAATTGGTTTTTGGCTTATAACTGCCTCCTTAAAGGTATCTACATAAAGCATAAAAGGGTAAAGTACTAAAACAGTCTTTCATTAAAGCTTAACTCGGCAAATGTTTGTTTGCTGTATTTAAAGGTGGGGGTGGGGAAAAAACCACCTCAGAGAGATTATTGCACCTCCAGGCCTATATGCAATAATGAGATCCATAAGAACTCTATTCAGTGGTTGCCAGAATGGAGCCATGTGCTATCATTTGTAGTCCAGAAACTAATATGACCTTAGTTTTCAGGAATGTCTTCTGCTATTGTGAAATACTACTTGGATAAAACACATGCAAGCGCATGCATGGCCAGTGCTGTTTGTATTAATATAAAATGTATAGGAACAACTTAAATGACCCTTTTCAACATGTGATTAGTTAACAATATGTTTTTAAGGTGATAATGTGGTGAAAGTGACCCAGGGTAAACTGTTTTATGTTCTCTGCTTGTTTAACCTTCACATTCCCAACATCTTTACTTTCATTTGTATGCAAGATTCCCTGATGGCTACAGAAAGGTTTTTGTATGATAACTCATAGGTTACAGATTTATTTGAAGTGAAAGTTAGTATATTTACTCAACCTGAGTTAATACATAACTATAGAGTCAAGGTGGGAAGGGGTATCCCCCCCAATTTTCTGCTTGGCTTGTGCTGATCTCAGTAACACTGCTGAAGCTGGCCTCCCCTCCCAACCCAGTTGACTCAGGTAGAAAATACAGTGGTGGTCACTACTGAGAGCTTGGTGGAGCACTGCCACTGTATTTACTTGCACCTCTGCAGGAACCAGTGCTGGCAGCTCCTGTTGGCCACAGATTGCCATTCTCGGCCAATGGGAGCTACGGTAAACAGTGTCCCGGTCCATGCCACTAACCTTGGTGAACCGCTGCCATCTTATTGCCCACCCCAATTTAGAGAATAGTATAAATACTGGAAATACACTACCTACTTGCAAAGACATTTACAAAGTTTTTGAAAGTAACCCCTGAAAGAGCTGGGGCAGGAGTTATTTGGGCATCACTGTCTTGTTGCCCTGTATGGATGTATCTTAGTAAAAGCTGCCATATTGATCTTCTTCTGTGGGTGAAGTGATAGGGTTCCCAGTGACTGTTATATTTTTTAATCTTCAGAAGGATTTTTCAGGGAAAACGAGTACTCAGATAAAACTGCAGAATGGTACAGACCGGTGTTAATTCTTTACCGATAGGGAAGTTTTATCAGGTAACGTATGGAAGATATCTTTCTGGAAGGGATCAGTCTTTTTAATCCAGGGTTGTAATTGTAATATCTATTCAAGATGCCATTTATAGAGAAGGGAATTCTGCACTTCTGAATAAATAAACAAAAAAGATTGATTCTGAATTACTGAAGTTTCTGGCTTTTCTTTTTATAATAGATCGAACAAATGAGGAATGAATTACTTCAAGAAAGAGCTACAAGGCAGGACTTGGAGTGTGACAAGATTTCATTAGAGAGACAGGTAACAGTTGCAGCCACGCCACCTTAACCCAGATCTCACAACTTGAGCAAGACCATGCTAGATTAGTGGTTTGATTGGAAGCATCTAAGGGCTGTGGGAAATCGTGCTTGCGATTCACTAGTTTTATGTGACCTCATCTTAGTGAGATGCTTGAAGTTCCAACCATCTTTAGAAGAGACCAGATGAATGTGGGGTCTTGTCAATAAAAATCCCAATTCATGTTTCATAAGAGTAAAGATGCTATTCCTAATATCCCAGCTGAATTCCAACTCTGTAATTCCGTGGTCACCAACCCGTCGATCGTGATCGACTGGTTGATCGTGAGGCATTTGGGCACCCCCAACCTCCATTTTCCCCCCACCTCCGAGAAGCCCCACTACCTACCTCTAGTGTAGTGCCAGCTTCCCGCAGGGTGGACAGAAGTCCTGTCAGAAGCCCGCGTCACTTCTGAGGGTTCCGGAAGTGCACTGGCTGCTCCCCTCCCACAGCTCTGTCATGTGCTGGGAGAGGGGGGCGTCGGCCCTGGAGGAGGAGTGTGGCGGCTTCCCTGCTCCTCTGGCGCTGGAGTGGTGAGTTGAGCACAGGGGTTTTTCCTTGCGCCACGGGCAGGCTCCCATGGGGGTTTGGCCCCGCAGCTGGAGAGGCGGTTTGGCCCCGGGGCAGGCACCCGCGGGGGTTTGGCTGCACTGTGGGAAGCATGCACTGGCTTCCCTTGGGGATGTGGGGGGAGAATCCTGGGAGGAGGCGATAGCAGGGTACTCTCTGCCCCCACTCCCCTCTGTTCCCTCCTCCCTCTCCCCTCCAGAGTGACCTTTTCACATTTTTATAAAGGTTTAGCCACAGGTCCCTTCTGAAAGTACCATGTGTATTAGTGTTTTGTATTATGCATATCAGAGGGCCAAGAATATAAGGCCTGGGAGCCATATCCAACCCGTGGCTTGCCTGGAGCGGCCCTGAGGGCTCCCTCCCCAAGCATTGAGGAACCTGAGCTAGCACTCCAGCTGTGCACACACCCTCTGCAGTTTCCCTCCTGGGGCTGGAGCACCTGGTGCCTGGAGGCTTTTTCCCTCTCATAATCTATTAGCCCCCAGGTCCCACTAGGCTCTGGTGTGCGAGGGAAATGTGAGGGAGTGCCTTTCTGCTTCTCAGTTGGGTTTACTGTGGCAGTATCCTGTAAAAGTACTATAGAGTTTGGGACAAAAACTGTATAGTGGCCCCCCACCCCCACCCTATATAAGCTATAAAGCTTTAAAGTGCTACCAGACTATTTGTTGTTTTAAGTTTTTCCTGTTATAGATTAACTCGGCTACCCCTCTGAAGCTTTTGTACTCTAGACTGCAGGAGTTTTTCAGGATTCCTAAGGTATCCCAGAAAAACTCTTCTGCATGCAGGGATGCGTTTGTTCTTCCACTTCTTTTAGAGGAAGAGTAAACATGATCTTTCGGTCACTCCTATATTCCTCTTTCCACAAGGAATAAGGGGGCTTCCAAAAGAAGGGGGTTTGCTGACATTTGGTCCAGTCTTCCTACAGAAGAATTGGGGGGAAAAGCAGCAGTATAAGGGTTGGGGATAGCAAGTGATGGAGGAGACTAGAGAGGGTGGGGCTTCGAGAAAGGGGCGGGGTGGTAGATCTTGGCTTGTTCTGTCATTTAAAAAGTGATCTTGGGTGTAAAAAGGTTGGAGACCACTGCATCAGCAGTTGAGAAGATACAACCCTTATATATCCCAGTATAACCCAGAGTAAATGATAACTTATGAGGTTTGAGGAGATCATAGCTTGTGGCAGCATAACTTAATTTTTTTTTCAGTATTACCCTGATCTTCATATAATCTTCTCAAAGCTGCTAGATTTTTAACTTTCTTTTGTAAGGATTTTAAGGTAACTGTGACATAAGTTCACTAAGTTGAAACTTTGAAAACATTAAGCATATGCCTTAAAATAAATGAACACTGTAGATTTTCATGCAAACAGTATACTAGAGTATAACTTCAGTACCTTGCTGATCAGTGTATTTTGAAACTCATAAAATCATACACAGTGGTATCGTTTCTAACTGTTGTATGCAGTGCTGCTGTGGCTGTGTCAGTCCCAGGATTTTAGAGAGAGAAGGTGGTTGAACTAATATCATTTGCTGGAACAACTTCTGCTGGTCAGACACACAAACTTTCAAAAGCTTAAAAGATATTACTTCACCCAGCGTGTCTTTCAGCTTCTAATTGTAAGGTTATTTTACACTGCTGGTGGTAGAGATTCTGCTTTTTAAGAGACCAAATATTTCCATGTGGCATCACATGGCAAATAATGGATTGTTAAAACAAGAGGAGATACATAAATCCATGGATAGTTTCTAGAGACCACATGAATGAAACTTAGAATGAAACTTGAGTGGCTTATCTCTCACTGGTGGTACATTTTTTAAATGTGAGGGTCCTTGGTGGGGGGAAGAAACTTAATTGAAACCCTAGTGGACTTATTTTGTGAGATTAGTTAATATATATCTGAGTCAGTTTATGGATTGTTTGGAATATTATGATCTTGTGTATGAATATAATACAGTGACTTGTCTTTTAGTTTACTGTGCAGTATTTTTCATCATGCATATTCTAGTTGAGATGAAAAATAAATGACTGCTAAAAAGTAACCTGTTTTTAAAGTGCTTATATACCAATCCTAGAAGTCTAAATAATATGGGAGAACTAGAGTGCCTCGTATTAAATGACAATATTGATATAATAGACATCACAGAAATTTGGTAGAATGAGGATAATCAATGGGACACAGTAATAGCAGGATACAAAATGTATCGTAAAGACAGAATAGGTCACGCTGGTGGGAGAGTCGCACTACATGTGAAAGAAAGTCTTACATACCACACTCTCTTTAGTACACCTAAGAGACAAGGTAGGTGAGGTAATATCTTTTATTAAACTAATTTTGCTGATAAAAGAGACAAGTTTTCAAAGCTTGAAAGCTTGTCTTTTTCACCACCAGAAGTTGATCCAATAAAAAGTATTACCTAACCCATTCCGATGTCCTGGAACCAACACAACTATAACAACACTGCACCTAAAAATATTAGACAACTGCATCATGTGGTTTACTCATTTATGATCCACTATAATCCTTACATCCTTTTCAGCAGTACAACCACCTGGCCATTTATTCCCCATTTTGACTTTTTCCTTCCCAAAAGAACTACTTTGCACTTGTCTTTTATTGAATTTCATCTTGCTGATTTTGGACAAGTTATCTTGCTGTTCTTTTCTGTTCAAAACACTAAATTTGATTGGCTTACATTAGGTTTTGCATGGAATATTTCATTTAATTTAAAAAGTACTTTTAAGGATTAAGAAAAAAATCACCCAAGCCAGGAACCTTCTTTGTTTTGTGCACCTGAAACTTAAACCCCATGTGGGCCACCTGCCAGACCAATCCTATAATGAAAAAGCTACAGGGCCTGAGTGATTTACAGTGCAAAGGAATTGCATGACGAAACCACAGAGCTTGTTAAAGCAAGAGTAAATGTATTAATAATGGAAACATTATCAGATCTTTGACCACAACAGTGGCACTGGATACCACTATAACACACGTGTGTGACATCTTTTATTATATATGCTGCAGCTGGACATTGGTGTTCTTTTAGATAAAACAGTTTATCATGGAGATTAAAATAACTTTAGTGTGGCATAGGAAATAATGACCTATGTACAGATGAATGGAGGGGTCACAATCTAGAAAACATAGAGCTACTGCCAAATTTCCCAAGATTCAGGGGACTTCAAGCCAAGAAATCCAATGCAGGCCTGTTTCTAATTCTTAATCTTGATTAAATTCTCCATAACTTTGAAGCACAAAGATGGGTTTGCTGGGGGGATACAAGCCTCACTGATTGACCTTTTTTTTTTTTTTTGCTTATTCACTGAATGTAAAAGCACCTTAGTCCCTGTGTTTCTTTGCAGGGACTTGTTTTGTATTAAGGTAGTGTGTATGTTTGTTAATATGTAGATGCCGATTTTATCTATGTAGTAGTAATGTAAGTTCTAATTCTAGAACAAAGATTTGAAGAGCCGAATTCTTCACCTTGAAGGATCTTACAGGTCTAGTAAAGAAGGACTTGTTGCTCAGATGGAAGACAGAATCACTGAGCTAGAGGAACGGCTAGAAAATGAAGAGAGGTAAAAGAAGCTAAGTTCAGAGCCTGGAAGGCGTGCGGGCATATAGCCAGGTGGCATCTTGCTAATTTTAGTGCAGCTTGGAAGCTTGTGTGATCAGGGCTGCTTCTTGGGAGAGGGGAGGAAGCATGGAGTTATTTAAAAAGGTCTAGGGCTCTGGGCCACTGCCATTGCTGCTGTGGCAGCTGGAGCCTGGTGCATCACAGTCTGGGCAGCGCTAAGAGCTGCCTGGGGGAGGTACGGTGTGGTCCAGGCAGCACTGAGGGCTGACTTCTTCTAGCTCTTCCTCTTCCACCCAAGGCCCCACCCCTTCCAGGGGGCTGGAAGCTAAGCCCTAGGTCTGGTGAAGTCCTGCATGGGAGCTCCAGGCCTATCATTGCAAAAACAAACAAACAAAACAAAGTCACAAGCACAGACTTTTCATATATTCTTTTTGATTGGTACATCAAAACAAAATCATCAATATGGGAGTTGTACAACCTATAACACTGGGCTGTCTTCTAGCAGCATTAGACCTATATCTTATTTTATCAATAGCTGCCATCAGTAACAGTCACAGAAATGTCAGCTATAATTAAACAGTTCTGTTTGCAGATGCATTTCCGAGTTGCTTTTTTATGAGAAATGCTTCTTCTGCATTTTCTCAGTGCGGCACTGAACAAAATTCCAATATGTTGCACAGAATTTGTATATCAAAGCAGATGCTGGTAGTATTTATTTTTCACTTACAGTCTCACAAGGGTGTATGCTTGGAAGAATTGGGAATGATTCCAGCTGACATTTCTGCATGTCTGTTTTTTTTAAGAGATCGGGCTAATCTCCAGCTAAGCAATCGCAGACTTGAAAGGAAAGTGAAGGAATTAATGTTGCAAGTAGATGATGAACATCTCTCACTGACTGACCAAAAGGACCAGGTAAAGGGAAAGATTTATACATAAGCAGTTTGTTATTTCTGTAACTATAAATTACTGTGCATTCAACTGACAAGGATAATCAATGTTTAGAATACAGATAAATGCTTGATTGTTATTTTTTTGTGAACTGATTTTACAAGATTCTTTTAGTCCCAATATCGTTATGTTCCTCAGCCTACTAGCAACAGATGGAGAAAATATGACATTTTAGGCTTTTCCTACGACTTTAGTAAAATGAAGGCATGTCATGTACAGATTACTGGCAATGCTCTTGTTTTCGTGTGCTCCAACTCATCTGATGAAGTGGATTTTACCCCCGAAAGCTCATGATTCTATATATTTTTGTTCATCTCTAAGTTGCCACAGGCAACTCCTTGTTTTTATGTTTACTTTTAAAACTTAATTGAACACCAAAAAGTGTCAAAGCAAGATACAAAGAAAGCAATCTATACTGTCTCCTACAAAATATCCTCTCTAAAGAAGAAGATTTTAGATTTTTTTAATTGTAAGCATATACTGCTATTTGTAGCAATGGCATTACCATTTCATGTGACTTTTCTTACTTCTTTGCTTACAACATAATTTGTTTTAGTAAAATCATCTTTGTCCTGACTATTTAACAAGCAGATTGCACTTTCCAGAATCTTTGCTGTGCAACAATAATTTATCTTTCCTTTTGAAATAATTATGTACCAAAATAAATATAATAGTATAAAATCTGTTTATGTACCTTAAACTGTGTAGGCAGTGTAGTACTCTTTAAAAGGTACTAGATATTAGAGAGAAAAGGTGGGTGAGGTAACATTTTCTATTGGCCCAAATTTGAGAGAGCTTGCGTCTCTCATCAACAGAAGTTGATCCAATAAAATATATTGCCTCACCTACCTTTATCTAACTTAAACTCTGATTCTCCAGTAAATCCAGGCACACATTTTACCTTGTTAAACACTGGTTGCTACCCCTGTACAATTTTACATCTTCACAATAGCTAGAAGGCATCTGTTTTGTTCTTTTCAGTTTCAGAAACTACATTTACCATTAATCTCAAAGACTAATGCTGACTTTTAACTACTGTTCAAGTGCAGTTTTGCAATGCCATGACATTGGCAAAGCTGTGACTTCCTTCCCCAACTCACAGATCCTAGGAGAATAGAATTCCTTTATCAAAATATTCCTTTAATCAGCTGCTGTTTTAATATTTCAGTTGAGTTTGCGTTTGAAAGCAATGAAACGTCAGGTTGAAGAAGCCGAAGAAGAAATAGACAGACTGGAAAATGCCAAGAAGAAACTTCAGAGGGAGTTAGAGGAGCAAATGGATATGAATGATCAATTGCAAGGACAGCTTAATTCTATGAAGAAGGAATTAAGGTGGGATTTCTTGTGAAAGCAAGGCCCATATACTACCCAGTGTTATACTTCAATGTAATTCTGACAGAGTACTTATGAATGTCTTACAGTAGCATTGACAATTAGTGCAAAAATAAAAGGCCTGTCTGCCCTTGTAAATGATTATTTTCCTGACTTTCTTGAATGCTTAACTTGGCTAACATAGTCTAAACCTGTGAACAATGCTTTTCTTTGTCAAATTTCATTTTAAATTATACTGTAGGAACGTAAAACCAGGGACACTGTAATTCCAGATCTTTGTTTATACATCTGTTGGACTTATAAACAATTGGAAAATGCTAATCTCTTACTGCTCCAGCCTGTCAGATGGGGACTGCCTCTGGAAGCTTAGGATGTTTGTTGCCTCAGATGCAGTTAGCAGCAATATTCCTGCAAAACCTTTCTCTGCAAATTACCCCCATTCCTCAGTAGGTTCCTCAATTTACCAGGGTCTCTGAGCTGAGCAGAGCAGGTAAGGCAGGAACAAGCACCTATAATCAGAGAACAGAATAACTATATTTCATTGCAGAGGTAAATTTATTTATAAAAATTGAGGGGAATACTTTTTCTGTGTTAAATTATAAAAGTGTTTTTTTTAAATCAGAGCCATTGCTCATGGGTGTTTGTGTGCTGTTTGGAGATTCTCATAGCTGTGGTACGTTAACTAAAAGGCCCTGAAAAAATATTCTAACCTCACTAGAGATTTAGAAAAGGATCAATTTTAGAGGTTTCCTATGCTGAAGTTAGTAAAAACACATTTTACTATATAGAGTGAGTGTGCGTGTCAGTACACATACATAGCATATGTCCGTGGTGTATTACAAGTGTATGTCCAGGGTGTTATGGTGTATTACAAGTACCATTTTATCAGCATGGGTTGGGGTTGGGTGGAATACTCAGGAATATTTCTCACCCCTTCCCATCCTGTATTCTGTGTAAACTACATATGCTAGAGGAAACATTTCAAAATGATAAACATTTGGAGCTGCCAAGAGGTTTGGAAATGTCTGGATAAGTCCCAGCTATGGTAGATCATTAGGCTGGTGAGGTGCTCAGACATGCATACTAAATTTCAGAGCTATATTGTAAATAAATGTAATACATGGGTTTCATTGCACACATGTATGTAAGATAGAGTTATATAAAGATAACAGTTTGGGGTCCTTATGTGCTGTTGAAAATCCTACCCTAACTAGTTTAGGAGAACAAGTCCCTGTGACTTACTTAAAGTAATACAGGCACTAATCCCAACCAGAATAAATACAGCCAGTGCTAACTTAGTTTTACAGAGTACATGTAAATGCTACACATGCATCCAAATGGTATCACTGTATAGACATGTATATATTCTTGTTGTAGCAGACGGAAGAAGTCACCAACTAAAGTACTGACTGACCTTGAAGATGATGATGACGATGATGATGATTTCAGTACAGATGGAGAGAGTCTCTATGAAGCACCTTCAGGATATAAATCCTCAAAGGACAATGATACAAAAAGCTAAAATTGACTCAAACCTGTGATACTGTGAAACTCATTTAGGATAATCTATTATCAAGGACCTACAGAATCCAAGAGCCAAAAGACTAAACAGATTTGAAAGCTGACGATCTTTACAACTATATTGTGCCATGTCCATATTTAGATCATCTTTGTGTAAACTGAAAACAGAAAGCAAGATTGCACTGTAAAACATTTAGAAATATATGTACTTGTCACCTTTGAGAAAACATTTATAGCTGGGATGATGTTTCACAATTCTGTTTAAATTAAGTAAACCTAAAGGAGAGCCATCTGAAAGTAATTAAAGACTAGTTTTTTTGAGGTTCCTAAAGGTTCCCCCTCCCTCCTGCCCCCCCCAGGATTTAGGAAAACAGTGAAGAAGATTATTTAATAATTGGGAGTAGGGGAAACTGATGTATAGAATGTAAATATTTTAGACCTTTTTATTAACTACTCTAGTGCCATTTTGTAAAGGTTCAAAAATTGTATAGATCAGTTTCATTTGAAAAGTACTTAAATCTATTTTGAACTTTATACGTTTTTAACTAAAAATAAGAAAAATACATTTGGGAGCAGATTCATTTTTTTTTAGGCAAGAAAAACAGCTGAATTTTAAATTCAGTATAAACATTTTACTATATGTAATCTATAAGTTAGAGCTCAGATACAGGCTTGTGTGATTGAACTCTAAAGTCCAAATCCTGCTTATGGACTTCAGAGACCATACTTGTGTATGGAGAGCAAGAGGTGGTCCTGAGGTTATAGGGTTCTTTTGTTTACAAAGCCCAGAACAGTGAGAACAAGATGAATTATTACTTGCAACATCTTTTCCTTAAGATGGCTTTTTGTTGCTAGGTGCAGAGCACTCTGGGCTTTATCAGCAAAATACTTGTATCCAGGAGTAGTCCCATTGATTCTGGTAAGATTACTCATGGGCTTCAAGTTAAAAATGTGCTTAAGTGCTTTAACAGGTCCCCGAGTGCTTTGTACCTACGAGACTGGAACCCCTGTTGGAGAAAGAGTTAATATTTAACACACACACTATAATCTGATTTTATATTTTTACCATGTTCTTTAGTGCCTGTTTATAACATTTTGCAATCTCCATGAATATATGCAGTGTTTCAGTTTATGGCACTTTGGAGATTATTTTGATCAATCCTGTAAAGAAACTTTGAAAAATGTGAATTGCAAATTTGTGGGTTTTATTTTAAACTTTTTATAGTTCATTACTAAAGGTATTGTCACCTGTGTAATTTGCATCATGCCTCCCTGCTTTGCTCTTCTGGAAATCTGTTGCCAAATAATTTTGATAATAAGCCATAGCTAAATCCTATCTGATTAGCAACTTCTTTCAAATGATATTAAGCACTTCTCTGCTGCATAGACCAAATAACCATTTATTTTATTGTAATTCTGAAATTATTACAACTGGGAGTGTTAAAATCTTCCTTCACTCCTGCAGACTTACCTACAGAAGAAGTTAACTTGGCTGTTCTGAAAGCAAAGCACCTGTTTTTTTTTGTTTTGTTTTGTTTTGTTTTTTTTAAGTAGGTAAACAGCCACCACAACAAGGAAATATTGTATCTCTTCCAACGTGGTTACATAGAAATGAAATAAGCACCCTCTCCGCTATTCACAATGTGAGGGTACATCAATCTATCCTCTTGTTGTAAAATGCAGGATCTGAGCCCATTTCTTCTTTTTGATTTGATTTCAATAGCACCTGACATTTATAGGAAATAATACTGTTGTCCAGATTACGTTACTTCTGAAATTTACATGCACTTTCCAGTTAATTGGTGTTCTCCCTTATACAAATTAATCCCTTTTCAGCGATCTCCTTTGTACTACTTCAGTAACATTAAAAAAATCTGTGCTACGCTGTATTGACAATCATCTAATATCCTGTTGTGATTTATTTCATGGACATAACTATAAACAGATGATAATTTTCAGTTCACTTTCAGCACCTTTTAATGTACATAAAACACTATTCTTTCAAGCCATCGAGAAAAGATCAGTTAATATTGCAGCTACCTCCAGGTACACTAAATTGTAAAAGAAAAATAATTTAAAATAAACTTTATTGGCCAAACTCATTAATTTCTACTTTTTATATCACATTTGGGTTGATTTGGTATTTGAACTGCATGCTGCAGAATGCGTGCATTTAAAATATTTTTAAGAAAAATTGTCCTGGAAATATTAATCATATAAGCAAACATCTATATTTCCTTCCACATGGAAAGGTAGTTTTCATCCAGAACATTTCTGTTTTATAAGAAGATGGGAAAAATCTAAAAAAATTTTTTTCATTTATTTGTGCTTATAACAATAATATAGAAAAAAAGAGCCATATGTGTGATAAAATCTAATAAAAGTATGGATGAAATTGACATTTCCCTTAGACATACAGTTAGCTCTTGTTATAATAATTGTGCCTATAACTTTACCCTAATTATAATCTGAATTGAAGGAAATGAGTGCAATTTCATTAACTGTCACAATAAACTAGGGATCTTAAATATCGGTTAACTGTGTAGTTGAATAACCTCATGAATTCTTCAAAAGCAATGAGGAGTCCTGTGGCACCTTATAGATTAACAGATTTATTGGAGCATAAGCTTTCGTGGGCAAAGACCCACTTTGTAAGATGCATCTTAAAACCTGGGTTTTAAGATTGAGAACCTCTGATATTCCAGTCAAAGCAGCTTTCATAATAAACACAAAGTTTGAATGTCCAAATTGGTTAGTATAGCAATTTCTTCTCTATCCAACTCATGTAAAGCTTGTTCTAGATTCATAATCTCAAAAAGGATCATAATGAAAGTTTCCTTGCCATTTTTCACACTATAGGCTGGACCTCCCAGGTTCACCACCCTCAGAACCTGGCCGGTCCCAGATGAGGGATTTTGCTGGAGCAGGGGAGATCATTTCTGGCCCCCCATACCACTGTCCCAGCCATCCCCGCTGGACCCACCGGTCTTCTTGGCAACCCAGAGAATGGGACTGCATTGCTGGCACCTTGCTAACAGCCACTGATAGACCTATCCTCTACAGGAGTGTCCCTAGACGAGCTGCCGGCAACTGGCGCTCTAGGCAAAACATGCGATCGGTGTGCGATCGGTGCCCCCGCCTCCAAAGCCCTCAACAGCCGTTTATCTTGGCCTCCTAGGCGACTGCCTAGTTCACCTGTATTGACAGGCCACCACTGATCCTCTATGAACTTACCTACCTAATTCTTTTTTTAACCAGGTTATAGTTTTACTTTCATAATATCCCCTGGCAACAAATTCCACGGATTGTCCATTGTATAAAGTAGATCTTCATGTTGATTTTTCTGGCCCCACTGGCAACTCACTGCCTTCAACCCACTGCCCAGCCAGCTGGTAGGGTTCCCAACCACCAGCCCTCCCCTACGGCTCTCTGGTCCTGGAACATGTTGCTGGACCTGGGACTCTTGGTTCAGAGAGGTTCAACATGTTGTACAAATTGAGACCTCCCTGGTCCAGTCCTGAATGAGAGATTTTGCCGGACCAGAGAAGGTCATATCTGGCTCCTCGGCTACCAGTTCCCCCCAGCCCTGAACCAGCCACTGGCCTCCTAGTCGACTCCCCCTTGCCACCTGACTGGTCCCAATCGAGAGAATTTGCCGGACTAGGGGAGGTGTTACCTGCTCTGAGCCAGCTGATCTCTGCCTCTGGCTCCCTCTACACCCTCCCCAAATGGCCTGTTGTGCTGCTCCCCGCTACACCTCCCCCCCCTCCCCCCGCAGGCTGCCATGAGAGGCCAGAGTTCTTTGGGCTCTGGCACTGGCTGCCGTAGGTAGCTGGGATTCTTCAGCCCCCAGCTCTGCATTGCTGTGGGCAGCTGGGCTTCTTCGTCCTTGGCCCAGCATTGCACGAGCGTATAAGGTTCCCCGGTCCCACACTGCCGCATGCTGCCGGGCTTCTCCAGTCCCATTGCCCTGCACTGCTGCAGGAAAATGGGGTTCTCTAGCCCCTCCAGCTCCATGCTTCTGTGGGTGGCCAGGTTTCCCTGGCTCGGTTGCCACGTGCTGCCAGGCTTCCCTGGCACCCAGCCCCATGCTGCTGCAGGTGGATGGGGTTCTCCAGCCCCCAGCACCACGCAGCTGTGGGCAGCCAAGATTCCCCAACCCCACAATGTCACAGGCTGCTAGGGTTTTAAGGCCCCGGTGCCAGCCCCAGGGCTGGGGGTAATAGCTACCTATATATAGGATGAAGTCCCAAATAATGAGACATCTGCTCACCCTGTATGTACCTAGAGTCTTGGATGGGGTCATCCTTGGGGCAGCTGACCCTTCTCACCAGAGTGGTCACACTTCTATTTTCAGTGCAATAGCTCAATCAGGGATAAAGCTGGTAGGGCAACCTGAGCTGACATTAAACCTCCCAGCTTGAAGTGAAGACATCTGTACAGACACATGAGCCTAAGAGGTTTTGGTAGATTGTACTTTGTCTGAATTCTGAATTTGTCAAACTTTTCCCATTAGCCCTTAGACCTGCTTTAATCCTGGCATATCTCACAAGATAAACAGGCCGGGCCAGATCAGTTCCAAGATGCATCCATGCAGTGGTGATATAGTGAATGTTGCTCTTCCTTTGATCGTATCTATCAGTACTTTACGCCTCTGCATGGGATGAGAGAGCACTGAGGTGGTGTTTCTCAGGTGAGATTTCTCATCTGAGTTTCTAGAAGCTTGTGCTCATTTAGAGATGGCATGTGATCTGTCATAAGAATTAAACTGCTAACCTAGTCACTTTCCACTCACATTGCAGTGGTTATTCTCTCGTCTATGTACCTTTACATATTACATTTTCTGGCAACTCACAGATGGTCTAACTGCAAATTCATGGATCTGAGACTTAAAAGATCTGGTTTCTAGTTCTGACTCATTCACTAACAGGCCATAACCTTTGACTACACCACTTATTTTCTCTGGGCCTTGACTTCCTCGCGTGTAAAATGAGAATTGTAAATCTTGTATCACAAAGGGATTGTGATGGTTTAATTTACTGATATTTATGAAGAATGTTAAGATTCTTTAAGGGGCAGTGCTACACACATGCAAAGTGTCTATGCAATAAGATGTGTCATTCTGAAGCCCAGAATGCCTTGAGTCAGTGTGACACAATGGAAGCAACTACAAGCATGGCTGATTTGTTTTTTGTTTTGTTTTGTTTATCAGCATGTTCAGTCCCCACTGAGCTTTGCAGTCTAGTACATCATATAAGTGCTCAGCCTTTTGAACTTCACAAATTACACCAGCTACAGTAAGGCCTGTGTCTAGGCCAAGCCAAGAGTTCTAGAGCACTGTGATATCAGTGGCATGTCAAGCAATCACCAGCTTTATCCCATTGCTAATTTGAATTAAAAAATGTCATTCGTTCCATGAGGAACCATCCAGATGGTGGATGACTTGGCTTAACTGCCGTGTGGCTGCCATAGCACTGCTTTCACTTACAAGTGGTGTTATCATGGGCAGTGGGTAATGTAGTCAAAGGAAGACCTTGCCTTCCCAAAATTGCCTACTGTGCCCAGCTGCCCAGGAGGGAGTGGGGCTGCACTGCGCAGCAGCCCAGCTCCCTAGCAACCAGGAAAGCCTGGGGTTGTGCTGAGCAGCTCCCCAGCAGTCAGGAAGGACTGGCTGTCAGGGAGCCGGGCTGCCACGCAATGCAGCCTCAGCCCACAGCTGGGGTAGAGTGGGGCTTGGCTGGGGATGGGGTGAAAGGTTGTGAAGGGGCATGGACTCAGGAGAAGGGGTGTGGCTTTGGACAGAAAGGGCGGGGCTTTGGCTGCCTTCCCCAACTTGGCCTTCACCCACCGCCCTTGGTTATGAATGTAAAACGATACCAATCAAATTCATTACCTCCATATTCTTCAACACTCTCTTTATCAGACTATAATGCCTACCCACAGAGCCCCCAATTTAAGGAGGGAATTCCTCTTCAGGAAAACATGTAAACATTTTAAAGGCCATCTTCCTTTTCCTGCATAGGTGGATAAAGAGAAACTAAAGCTAGACACAGGGCAATAGTCAGGTCCCCATCTCCAGCAATTGAGAAATTTCTGGTCCAGATGTGAACTTCATAGCTCAGGTTACTATTAAAGCCTGTCTCATGTTCAAAGGGTGGTGGGGACAAATTATTCACAGGTTCAGCTGACGGAATTCTCATAAGGTAGCTACACAGACCAGAGATGTCCGAATGAGGTTGTAGGTCAATTAGGGCATGTCTAAACTACACTCCTCATTTTTTCAGGAATACGGGTTCTTTCGAAAAAGGTTTTTTCCCCCCCGAAAGAACCCCGCCTAGACTGCGCTTTCACTTTCGAAAAACACTTTTTCGAAAAAGCGCTCTGACACAAATATGCAAATGAAGAGGGGGATATTTAAATCCATGCTTTATTTGCCTCATTTACATTCCTCTTTCTGGAAAAACTTGCCAGCTGTCTACACTGGCCACTTGAATTTCTGGAAAAGCACTGACGATCTCCTGTAAAATCATCAGTGCTTTTCCGGAAAAACTATTCTGTTCCCGTTCAGGCAAAAGTCTTTTTCTGAAAGACTTTTGCCCAAATGGGCCAGTGTAGACAGCATAGTACTGTTTTCCGCAAAAAAGCCCCGATGGCGAAAATGGCGATCGGGGCTTTTTTGCGGAAAACCGCGTCTAGATTGGCCACGGACACTTTTCCGCAAAAAGTGCTTTTCCGGAAAAGCATCCTACCAATCTAGCCGCGCTTTTCCGAAAATGCTTTTAATGGAAAATTTTTCCGTTAAAAGCATTTTCGGAAATTCATGCCAGTGTAGACGTAGCCGTTGAGTCTTTGTCCATTTTAGGATCAAGAAGCTATCTTGATCAGTGTTTCAGTAATTAAATGTTGATGTTTTTAGCCTGTTTGAACTTTCTCACTAGTAGATCAGCGCATTTAAGTTATTTCATTTTTGCTAACAGGCTTCATCAAGTAACATACCCTCTGTGACTGAGCAACATATAAAGCATTTCATTTATTCACATTTTCATAATGTGCTGATTAAGTTACTTACTTAAGCTATGGCCCAGTTTTGCTGACAGAATTTCAGAATCACATTTCACAGCTTGCTTGAGGGGATTTAGCCACCAGGGGAAAAAAACCACACAGAATATATTTTTAATGAAAGGGTTATAGAAAAATGCTGATTTTTCTAAAGGTACTGAGACAGAAGAGACCCCCATGAGAGAGGAGAAAAGGGAGAGCAAGAGCTAGTGTCTGTCACTGTGCAATGGGTCAGTTCAAGCAGACTCAATTTACCTATGCTTAGCACTTATACAACCCTTGACTTTTCCAAAGGGCTTTATAAACATTTACTAATTAATCCTGAGGACTCCCCTCTGAATTACATGGGACTGTCTCCATTGTTCAGACAAGGAAACTAAAACAGAAGGATGAAATGAATTTCACACAGCAAGATAGCAATACAACTAGAATCCGAACTCAAGACTATTGGATTCCCAACCCCGTGTGCCATCCTACGCTGAGCCAGTCCTACAGTTCTCACTCAGGAAAA